AAAATAAAGAGGCATGTCAAGTATTATTCATAATAAATGATAGTATATTGTTATAAGTCAGATATATGAGTTAGAAGTCAATAATGTCAAGATAGTAATATTAAGTGTCAAAAAGGTAGCGCGGGAAATTTCATTTCAAACATCCGTTAAGCATAAGCGTCTTTTGTAGATCTAGTAAATGGGTTCTAAGTTTAAGTTTAAATGTACGCACAGAGATGCCCCGACCACTGCCGTGTTACGAATAACGTATCCTCACTCTCGGAATATCGAGTCACACCACCTTTCCTCCGCACCGTCAATATTTTTATTTAGATATACTTTTAAAAAAATAAATCTGCCACCGGACACCCTGTACTTCTACTTAATTACTTGTAACCCCATAAGGCAAGCATTAGACGCAAACATTTACGTTAAGTAACTAAGTTTAATTATGTTTTTTGGTCATTCAATTCATCATTCGTTCCGAAAGCAATTGTGACTTTCAGCGTTACATAATTACACTAATCGCTATAAGAGTATATCTTTGAAAGGAATTGCGATAGGATATGAAATTTTACATATCGGCCAGTGTCTTATATAGGCCGTGTCGTTTTACAACGACGCGTTAACTAAGATAATAAAATAAAAAATAAGGAAAATGTAACTGTTTTTTCCTCTAATATTTATTATCAAGTTTTATGACAGCTATGAACATTAGATACAGAACTTAAAAACATCGCTTTCTTAAAATTTAAATAAATTTATATTTACACCAATATGCGACTGAAAAAGTTCACATTTTATAAATTAAAGAGATCTAAATGAAGCTTAATTAATATCTAACTTTAGTTACATGTGATCGTCGTTCCTCTACCAATTGTTTTACACTTATCACAGTTTAATAATTTACAAATACTCCACTCGTTTGGTCGATATTCCACATTATTATCAATCTAATGTTTTAAAGCAGAAAATACTGTATTCATAAATACGCGTACACCATTACTATCAATAATTAATTGTACAACCGACGCTACGTCAAGTAGGCACGCATACTAATCAGAATGGAAAGCAACGAATGAACCGAACAAAAGGAGTTTTAAAATTATTTTTAAGTTACCATGTATACGCGCCAATAGCACACACGCGGAATTGGCATCTTGATAATTACAACCTCAGACCAAATAAAAAGTAAAGACGGAGTTCGCTGAATAATAAAGTGAAGCCGATTTTTAGCAATTGTAGTGTGCGTGCCAGTATGACCATAGTCATTAAAACACCCACAATAAACAATAACTTAACGTTACGACGTTATAGAGTTAACGTTAACGCTATGCTATTTAATTATATAATGTAAATTCGTTTGTCAATATCAGCATAGATATTCTAAAATCTTTAAGAGTGTAATTATTATTGGAGGCCATACATTAAAGAGACTATATAATTAATTTTTAAGTTAAGTTTGAAAACTTCCACTATGTTAACTATAATTTTGATATATAGAAAGTTTGAAACCTTTGGATATGAGTTTTGCTTTATTCGACGTAACCCTTTTATAGAATTATACATATCACCGCTCTTAAAATTAGTCAAACAAACTACTACATGAAGGTTCATTTCGACTATTACGAATGACTGAAATCCACGTCTCTTTCACATTTTGATGTCGGTTTGGAAATCTAAAAATTAATGCAAACCCGTTTAGTAAAAATAATGAAGTAAAAAATTAAACCCGTTTTTTATTTTTTACTTCCTTATTCTAACACTTCAGTATCTGTGATCTGGGTCTATATATAGCATTTTGAATGCAAAATTTATTAAATATCATTTCCATACAACAAGAAACAAATACATTACGTAATTTGTGTTTTGTTAGAAATAACGCGTTATAAAATTAAAGTTACCTGATTTCGGGGTAAATAATGTTTAACGATGGTAATATTTGGCTGAGGTTTTGTGTTCCAAGCAATAATTCAAATTTTATTCTTAAAAAATGTCAATTTTCTCCAATATCTACGTGTGAAATGTGATTCCATACTGCTTTTTATTTTTCGAGGATTGGTTTTTACACCCCTCACTACAAAAGTCGGCATTTAGTAAGAAATTTTTGATTTTTTTTTTATAACGAAGCGTTCCGCACACTGTCGATAGTTAGACTGATAAGGAAGGCGTAGTTTCGTTATGTGTGTGCGTGAAACTGTGTACGAATACGCTGAGGCGTAGTTTTTCGGCTTCACTTTTCTGTTAGGCAAAACTTCGTCTATACTTTTTATTTGGTCTGAGGTTACAACAATCAATTTTGAAATATGTTGGAAATGGTATCTTATATGGAAACATATGTAGTATTTTTTGCTTTAAAAAAAATTAAAGTATATTTTAGTTTAACATAATTAACTTGCCATTTATCATCTGTTAATAACGCTAAAAGAACCGTATCGCGGGCGGCCATGACGAAGCATCGTGTGACGTCACATTTTAATAAACTAGACGTCAATGTCCTTGTTACAATTATTGTTGTAACAACTATTTGTTTGCTATAAATTCATGCATTAAAGACTGTACATTATATCGTTCGGTCCTCTCTGCTTACCCTGCCAGGGATACGGTGTGAAGATATAGATTAAAAGATAGTTTCAAGTAATTTCAATATGTGGTTGCACTCAAATCGTAATTGGAGCAAGCATTTATAAAAGACGCAACCAGTACTCATGTTTATTGAAATGTGACGTCGCAGCTCAAAATCTCATGTGACAGATTGAGGTCATTGGCATTTCAAATGAATGAAAAAAAAATGTTTACCTTTATGTAATAACACTATTGATAAATAGATATCTGATAGTGGTTCATTATATGATCATGTGAAAGTTTTGAAATACTTTTCCCAAAAAGTTTCAATAGGTAATTGTCATAATTCTAAATGTCACTTGCGATTAATTTACGAGGTGTTAACAAATTCATATCTCCTCTTTCACTCGCATATCTAATAAAGCCGAAGAAGGCGGAAGAAAAAAAAATCTTTACACCTTGCAAATGAATAACAAATGAATTTTGAGGATTCGGCGCGCACACGTGTGCGATAGTTTAAGTTTTCACACGAAGAATTCTAAAATTCCTTTCTTTCGCTTCCTGCGGCGCGTTCCATTCCGACTTATATACGTTTATCTTTACAGAATCTCCAATTTCCAACTATAGATTTAAAAAAGGTCTATAGCGTAAGGTTTAAAACTTGATTACACTATGTAAACGAGTTTAATAAAACCAATCGTGCTGATTAGGTACTGTACATTATACATAATTATATAATATTTCCATATTATACTTTCTCAGAAATAGGAACCGATTGTAAATCAATCAATGAATCGTATACCTAATTAATTTTCCATTTATCTAACCAGAATAATATTATACAATGTTTTCAGTAATAGTAGATAACTTTAAGTTTTACGGTGACACAAAGAACCTAATAATTATATACAAGAAAATGTGTCTGCTTCAAATAAATTTTTGTACAATAATAACTAGTTTCCCGCGACATTGTCCGCGTAAATCATAGTCTATGTCACACACATACAATAAAGCTTCCCATAAATGATCGTTTTTTTTTTAATCGGTCAACCACACTCAATGCAAACAAACAATTAAATCCCTCTTTATAATATAGTATAAATTTACTCCATACATAAGTTTCTTGAAAGATTAAAACACTGATAAATATATTTATGTTTCGTAAAGTAACTGATTTCATTAAAGCTCTCAAATTACACTAAATAAAATATTAACTGCTGATATACCAGATAGTAAATAAGGATCTTGAAGGTGAAATAAGCAAAATATATATAAAATTTAGTTATGACTGTATGACATTCATTCATTGATCATGACACGATTGCTTAGTGTGAATGATAGTAGTAATAGTAGTTGATTTACTAATACGGTATCGATTTAAGTATCTATAGTTCAAAACCTGACGGTAGTAGTAAGATTTTTGACGTTGTAATCGAACTATTATACTTGCCCTGAAACTATTCGTTTGTCTTACTAATTGTCTACTGTCACCGTGCTCGAGAATACTTGCGATCGCACGCACTTGAACCCATGACAATAGGGGTGAAAACTCTATTTAGTCTGTTAGTCAGATAACAGAAAAACATTAGAAACATATTTTTGTTGCTTCTATTTAACAAGAAATTGCTAAGATAATAGATATTAAACTTGAGAAACGCGGTCTCGCTATATCACAACTATATATAGAAAAATGTACAAAGGTGTGACGTCATGCGACATTTCAAGTCAATATATCGTATTAATTTATTAAATTCTCAAAAAAAATATAAATACGTGTTTAATATTCTTCATTAATCTATATGGTGGACAGAAAAAAAAAGTCATCATCCTTTTTAGGTGACTTTCATAGAAATGACAAGAGCACTGTGACAGAAACGGTAAGTATATATTAAATAACAAAAACATCAGTTTTAATTGGCAGATAGTAAAAGTATTTGTTACGGCGTTACATTACTTTCATGTAGTTCATGAACTACATTTAGTGTAAATTTGCTGATCAAAAGGAAATGTAAAATTTGATAAGCTAGCTTTCTTCGCACTATCCAAGTACGTATCTGTCTTTGTATCCGACTGAATGTGTAGTTCAATCGTATGCAAAATAAATACTATAGAGATATTTCAGATATCGGAAGCTAATCGTGATCAACCCTCGGAAGTGGCGACGACTTTATAAAAAGTTTGCCTATGTGTGTGCGTTGTTCTTGGACGGACAGACTGTGAAGGTGGATAGTGCGTAGAAGGCTAAAAAGACTACATTACATACCTAAGCGCCTTTGAAAATAACATGATTGTTCTGAAATTTTAATTCGAAGACAGGTATATGTTCAGAGTTCGATGGGAAAAGCTCCACAATGGTGTGTTGGATCTATTCCCTTCAAACTTTCACTCTTTTAGTCAAAAACTCTTTGGAGAGTCACTGTTTAATGTTGAATACCGGTGTCGGTGTACAGTTGCGGCTATGTGTCAGCGGATGCGGGCGCGGGGGGCGGGGAGGGTCCGCGTGCTGCGGCCAATGCGGCCGCGTGTCGTCGCGCTTTAAGCCGCAAATCAGCTATAGAAGATGAGCGACAGCGCGCCGCTAGTGCCGCTAGACCAGCGTACGGCGGACACAGGGCCGCTGCTGCCGCCGCCGCAGCACTCGCATACTGTTATTGAGTATTACTAATTAAAACAACGTGATTTATATTAGACTTCCTCCAGCACTGTCATTGGCGATAACGAATCATCATCCAATATCATGGGAGACAATTTTATATGTTAGTCTACACTTCAGAGCAAACAGCTCCTCATCAAATGAATCAATTGAATCGTTAACGCGTGAGATATTAACATTTATTCTCGTTTAATATTAATAATAACGATTCATATCACAATTAATATACAAGTATTTATTATAGTTTTCATCCATAAAGAAGGCCTGAGCTCCTCCAGTGGGGACGTAAAAAGACTGATGTAGTTTTCCCAACGCATTATTTTTTTAAAGTCTGCCGCCGACTAGGGCTCTTTATAAATTCGCCTGTTACACGTTTCTCCTATGCTGACGTAGTCGATTAAGCGTTATAAGCAAACACAATTTCTATGAGATAATCTGACGCGTATGTCATTTAGTTATACGTTAGTGGGCGTCAAAAGGCTGTTAAGATTAACCTCGACCGACGTCAGTGTAGAAGGAATGCCTTCACATTATAAAGCGTCCGAAGTTGACACCAACCCAAGAAAATATACCCCAGCACTCGAAGCATGACTGTCAAACTTGAGAAACACTTTGTCTACACCAAATGTCACTCTTCTTAGTTCGACAGTGAGATTTAGTATGGGAGTGAGACATCGTATGGGCACAGGAGTGTTTATATCTATAGAGCATACCAAAGAAAATAAAGAATATCTAAACTTCTTGGGCAAACCCGAGAAAAGTGACATTTGGATGTAGACAAACCTCAGAAAACATTCTCGAGACGTTCTCGAGTCTCTCACTAATACTCTAGCCATTCCTATAAAAACGCGTTATTCATTTTATGTATAAATATTATTTTATAATGATATGTTTTTATCAAACGTTTTGATTTATTTCACTTTTTATTATTTATTTTGGTTTATATTTCATGAGCATATTCGTTAGAATGATAGAAAAAGAATTAAAAAATTCTGACATGATTCATGATGATCTGAAATTAAGCTTTGTTGCAAAACATTTCAATACTGCAAGATATGCTACGACAGTATTATGCAATCTGTATTACCTACGATATATGTTCTCGTAGCACACCAACTTTCGTAGTCTATTCAGCTACGAGGCCTAATAATTATTTTTTAATACATTTATATTTTTTCGTCTTTTTAATGTAATGTTTTTTCACCGAAATGTCAAAGACTGAATACCGCTAGCGACTTATTAAAGACTTGATAATAGAAAGCAATGCTTATAAAAGCATATGTAGCATGAATTATGTAGTATAAGGCCACTTTTTTTATAATGTTCCTGATTCGAATCAGATCCTGATTTAGTTGAATTAGTTAATATATAGGGATTATATTATTAAGATTTTTAACGTTTACTCGATCTTGTAAGGTATTGTCGCCTAATAAGGCCCACTGTTTTTGACAGCTAAAAGTGCTAAAAACCATCTGTAGAAGCTATACTTTAAATCACATTTTTTTGTCCTTAATGTGGGACTGTTATTGAGACATGGTTGAAAACCGTGGTCCGTTTTTAGGCGACAGTACGTTATCACTTAATTATAGATTTATGTATACACGTCCTAAATTCTAAAGCAGGTTATAATGTATTGTTACTTTTTCTAGAATAAAATTTAGCAAGCAAGTACCTGATGCGCAGCAGCCGATAGAAGAGCAGAGTCGAAAGGAGCGAACGCTGCTGGCGGTGAGGGGTGGGGAGCGAGTGGCAACGTTGGCGGCGGTGGCGGTGCCGCGCGTGGCACAGCCGACAACCGCGGCACTGACACATAAGGCGCTACGCGGCACGGCTCCAAAGGAGTGCCGCCACCGCTTACTAATAAACCTACACAAAATACCTTGTTTTTATTTTAATTCGAAAACATGCTATGGAATAACAGCTAGGTTGCAACGTGGTTGCAACCAAGAGAAATTTTTGTGAAATGTATTAAAGAACATATATAATATGTTCAATTGCTCTACTAGTGAGCATGTTATTATAGACCCTTTATCTTTGATTTATGTATAAAATTCTTTTGTCGGTGTCTTAATGGTATACAACAAATTTAATAGTACTATACCAGGTTCTACCTAAAAATTATATATTTCAATTATAATTTCCATGTTGCTATTGTATTTTAAGAGATTCATTGCATATTACCCTAAATATCTACAGCAATCTCTTTCATGCAAAATAATTAACTAAAAACAACGAGGAAACGAGTGTAACAAATTAATAAAATCTATTAGCAATTTATAAGTAGAAAATCAATCTTATATTTAATTTAACAACTCATAGTACTAAGACTTATCTCTTTTTTTAAACTTTCTAAGCCTCGGTTGCACCGTAATTGCAATAAAGTTAATGTTTATGTCACAATTGACAATATCTGTCACGCTGTCAAAACCACCAAAATAACTTAAACTAGCGAAACTTGGGCGATTATAGTTTGAGTTAAAGTTATGACGTCATCTAACAATTGTCAAATTATAACTCATTACGTTGGAACAACTAACCCGTTTTCACTAAACTTAAAAAAATTGGGCATTGTCAAAGGTACGTTTCACCAATGGCAAGGAGACACCTAACAACTTTAAACAACGTTCAAAGTTAGGACATGCATTGTACGGCACCTAGCGCTGGGCATTTGCGTAATGTGACATTTACATTTACTCTTTGGCCATAATGGATGCGTCAAAGGATAAAATTATTTAATAAGTTGAAATCAAGGAGTTTATATATTATAATTAAGATAGAAACAATGAGATTTTTTGAATTTTCAGACTATTTATAAATAGACAATGACGGCTTGAGTACTTGTGTAAATACTAAAGCAAAACGTTAATTTTGGTATTATTGGGGTTATGGTATTATTAAGGTGACATTGGGTAAACACAAATATGTCATACATAAAAAAAGGAGAACTGAAGCATGCAAAATCTTAGACAAACGTTACATAACTAAGCAAGTGCTTAGTAAGGCATTACATAACGTTATAGGTCTGGTAAAACGACCAATCTACTTAAGCTATTCTTAATATTAAGTGATTTCTCGTTAATCTATGCCTTGTTTTAGATTAGTGAAAATAAATTATAAGACTTCTAGTAAAAAAGTCTCTGCTTTCTACTTATACTGCAAACAATAAAATTTGCAAATTTTCACTAACTTGTAACACGATAAAATTTTTTGAATTATTAACAACGCGAAAGCTATTTCCAGTATTCAGTGCGAGAAAGCAATTTGTAATGTGTCAATCGGGTTTCGTTCAGTGAATAATTCGCATTGATCCCAGCGATTGCCAACGAGTGGGCGCCGAGTTCCCGCGATGCAAATCCACTGAGATCCATTCCCGAACTCCACTTAATTAAATTGATATTTAAGTAAAGCATAATTTGCTCGTAAATTAAGTGAGATCCGTTGTTTATAGCCGCCCGCCTCCAGGCGAACTGAACAATTAATAAATTAACAAGGATCTAACCGACTTAAAGGTGTTCGGTGGGTCTCCTCTGAAGAATTCATTAATTTAATTACTCTTTTAGATCTCGTCTACCTTACGAATTAGAAGTGGCAATCAGGTAGAGATGTTATTATTAAACGTGTTTTATATTAATTGTTACATCAAAGATTAAGGAAGTAAATTATCTTGTAACGGATCTGACCGGAATTGGCTTATTTTAAAATATACCGCATTACCTTTCGATTTACCATTTGAAAGATATTTACGAACTTCATGCTACAATTATTTGCCACTTGGTGCTTGCAATCGTGACTTTTTTTTAATATATTGAATTGATATCAAAAATTTTACGTTAATTGGAATTGGCTAAGGCAAGCGTTAGAAAGAAAAAACTATGAAAGCCATTGAAAAATGTCAAACGAAAGATTTGTATGCTATTTAATTCATTCCAAAAATGATTGCAAATATAAAAGTCAATTAATTCCATTAATCACTAAGTCTTCTTATTTTTTAATTCGATTACACATTTCTACCAATGTCACGTCTGTGGCCTTTACACATAAAGAAACGATAGCAAAATAAGTAGTAACAAATACAAAAAAAAAAATCTGAATAAAATAAATATCTATTCAAGTGGGCTTGATTTGCTCGGTTTCGGTACGGAGCCCTCCTTGCCCGAATCCACTCGCACTTGGCTGGTTTTTTGTTTCTTTTATTTGCGAGATAGTGAGTAGTCACTAGGTATGTGTGCAAGATACGTAATTCGTCGTAACTGAAAGGTCGCGGGGGAGCATCCGGCACTTTCCTTAAATCATACTCGCCCCGGTCGCCGTCGGCATTATCAAAATGGATGCCCTAGCGAGTATGAGTTATTTCCATATTTGACACCGAATTACTTTCGAGAAGTGCCGACATAAATACGAGCCGTCCGGCGACCGAGACGCCCGTACACCCCTCTCGCTCCACCCCTCGACCGCCATGCATTTATTTGATTAACTCCAGAGTTGTTTAATTTAATCGAATTAGAAGGTAAGCCGGGCGCGGGGCTGCGCCGTCTAGCTTATTTTAAAACGCTCCAAACATCTTTACAGCGGTTTCTGCGCAATAAAATATCGCCACCCTCACTACGCGAATAACTTTACAATTTTATGAACAGGGGAACAATTAGGCGTCGGTATATACTTTTTATTCTCGTGTTCAGGGCGGCGGGCGCTGTGATTGTTTTTATGGCGAGCGCCGCGCCCGACAGAGATTCATTTCTTCGTTAAAAATGAATTCTTAATTTTATGAAGATCCAGTACCCATTTTTTATGATTTGTAGCTTTTGTCCAACGAAGTTGTATGAAAACCATTGTCCTTTCTTAAGGAATGATTTAAACAAAAATAAGAAATATAATTTGTGACGAATATTGACACTATTAGCGGTGATGGGATAATAATCTATATAAATCAAAATTACTAAAATTCTTCAACTCAAGAAAACGGCTTGTCCAATATGGCAATATTTTCAATTGAAGAAAACACGAAAAAATAATAGAAATATATACTCAAATCTTTTATTTACTCATACAAACTAAACTCTCAAAAGTCCACCAGGACAGTTATTATTACAATAATTTCACCCATTAATTGAAGTCTGTTAAAAATCAACACCATAAAGATATTGCGAAAAGGTCATCTGTAATATATCCCAATAATTGCGATATCATAGTGTAACACAAAATCATTTAAGTATCGTTAAAACTTAAACAGAAAATGATGATATTGAATAACACTCGGGGATCTGACTGGCTCTCCTCTATCTTAGGGAGACGTAACAAATAACCGTTTCATTTCACTTTACATGATTGTGTTCGCGTTAAAACGGGCGGTGCGGGGGACGCGGGGCACATAAGTTAATAAGACATTTAGCAAGGGACGGCGGGATTGCGTCCGAATGGCTCCCACGGGGAATCATTTTATTCGATTCCGGAGAGCGGTTTTTTCCGCTTTACGCTACGTTTAGCGTTACCATGGGATCGAGAGTCTTGCAATCACAGATAGTGTGATCACCGGTCATGTCTCGTTAGCTGATGTGACGTCACTGCCGCAGATGTGACACACCGCAATAACATAATCGTCTACGAGGGGTGTTTCTGGGGCTTTAGGATTTTAGTCAGCTGATATTAGATGTTACATTTATGTAAGTCAATCGATTTAATTACTGGGGCGTAATTGTTTTATTTTAAAATCTATTGCAACCCGTTTCATTGGACATTTGAAATATATTCACGAAATCTAACAATATTTGACTTGTGATTTGAATTGCAATCGCGAAATATTTTTAAAAAGATATTGAATTAAAGATATCATTGATTTGACGTCAATTAAAATTGTCTTGTGTTAGCGTTAGACGCAAACATTAGGTACTTTAAGTTACTAAGTTTTTATTATTGCGAAAGCGCTTGCGACTTTAAACGTCACATAGTTCCATAAATCTCTTTCATAATCGCTATTACTTTGAAAGTAATTGTGATACGTTTAGAAATTAGACGATTTATTACTTACCGATTTTATTACCTTAATTTACTTGGATGATATTGTATTTATAAAAATTAATTGTTTACCGTTAAGTAAATATCGATTAAATATAAAAAGCTATTCTTAATATTGAGCGATTTCTAGTTAAGCTATGCCATGTTCTAGGTGATTGAAAATTGGCATAAGACTTCTCTTCTGGTCCACTGGCAATGTCAATAAAAATATACAAAAAAATTATTACAAAAAACAAATAAAGAATTTATTAACTAAAAAGAATAATACCATACAAGAATACCTAAATGAAAAACTTTAACTTTAATTTAAATATAATATTCTACTTTTCTATTCTAATTTTAATATCTGCTAGATGGGTAAGTTTTTAAAAAATAAATTATTTAGTTTATCAAAGAAACGAAAAACCTACTTATACCAATATTTTAAAGCAGTGTCCTTCCCTCTCTCCAAATTTGCTGTGCCGACGGGGTCCATAATGATACTTTTGTTTTTTTATAAACATCCTAATACTGCATTGTGGAATGCAATAAAAAAATAAATAGTAATAGAAAATAGAAGACTATTTATACTACTCTTTGTAGTAATATTTGCAAAAATAGAGAGTACATTTACGAGAAATACGCTATTTCTCGTTCGTATTAGTTATTTATATCTCTATAGATAATCTATCTTCACTTAACGGTTACTTCATATGTAAAATATTTATATAGATGGCTCAGATATGGGAAAATGCAATAAGTTTTGAACACAGACTAAGATAAATCTTCAAATATTCTTAATGAAAAATATTTAATAAAACATCGATGAAGATACGCTCTGTAATAGCGAAAAACTAACAGGTGAATTGAATGAATGAATAATAATTTTATTTGCAATAATCACAGCACAACATGATAGCATGATAGCATTCGCTGAAATAATTATACACATTGAAATAATTAAAATATAAAAACAAAAAACATGGAAAATAAAATTAAACAATCTTAATCGATTGCAACAAACACAGGGCCATATAAAAAGAAAATAAAATAAAACAATCGATTAAAACACACACAGGGCCACATATATGCCGGGACGATGCAAAAGTGCTTGATAAATTCGTCAGTCATGTTGTGTCCTGGGTAGCTCAGTGGTTGGAGCAGTCGCTCGGATCGCGAAAGATCATGGGTTCGAGTCCCATCTCAGAGCGCCAGGGACAAAGTGGATTTTTTAATAATTTTTCATTAAAAATATTTTTCAGTATAGCATTGTAAATGCAAAATAGATCAAATATAATAATAAACCTTTTTAAATCGAAATTGAACAGTTAATGAATCAGATCTCGTGATCTCATTTCAGTGACGTCATTATTATTATTATTTAATTTCAATAAGTTTGAATGTAATGCTTGATGATTGATAGTTTCTTTCTAATCGATTGACAAATATTGATAGCGCATGAAGTACGGGATATACATTTTGTGATGTATTTCGTGTATACATATAGTCTAATAACTTATAAGCTGTAAATATATGCAGAAGCCTGTAAGTGGATTATTGTTAAATATGTTTAAATTTAGTGTATCTGTTTAGCTGTTAGTTTTCCAAGATAAATAATTAATATAAGACATTACATTCCAATATTGCTCAGATTCCAAGATGAGCTTAAGCTCTTATTATGGAAATTCTGATACAACGAAGGCACCACTACACCCAGACCCGAGACACTAACGAAAAAGAAAAAAAGTTAATTTTCTTTTACCCGACCGGGCATCGAACCCCTCAGTGACGGCGACATTTTGAAACCGTCATGCAAACCACTCGGCCACGCAACTCGTCAAATAAATAAAGTACTCTCATTGTATTATTCTGCGTTGAGATTTAACGACATTAAAATAAATAGTTCCCCAATCTGCCGGGAGAATTTATAGCTAGACACTAATGCATTATATATTCTCCATCTCTCTGTCTAACTTGATTAGAGTACCCGCCAGCACCGCCGGTCCGACTCTAACAGTTTTTTAATTCGACCATAACTCACACCGATGAATAATTAAAACGGCGGGCCCGTGCGGAATCGCGCAACTCTAAAAAACATGGCAACACACGGGGCGATAAATTCGGGATATTGCGCAACCCACTTAGCGTTCATCCCTATAACGGTGGTCAAGATTCGATACCTGAAGCAATGAAGACATACAATTTGTTTCGGGTGAAGCGAAAAATTATTGCGTAATATTCAAAAAATTATAAAGAAGGCCACAAAAGAATAGAATGCGTTTGTTTGATTTAAAATAAAAAATAATATAACAGCAAAGAAGTGTATCGAATCGCCTGCCCGGATTGGATGGTTTTATTTGCGGTAATAACTATCTTATGTCCTTTCTTAAGGACCTTGAGAAGGCGTGAAAACATATGAGACACACAGACAGAGTCACTATCGCAATTATATAAGTATGGATGACAGACAACCCTGCACATTCGACGGATGATCCGTTGCGTACTAACGTCTAGCGTCTTATTGAAATCCGTCCGATTTACACCGACCCTTTAAAAAAAATTTACATAAAGAACTACTGGGATCACTGATTATAATTTAAAGTAACGAAATTAACCATTTGCTCTATAGTGAAATTTACACACGACCGCACTCATTACGCTTATGCAATGAATGTCCTCGACTAGTTTGCCAGAATCATTTGCAATTTGCTGCTACAAAATACATTAACCGAGATAGGAACTAGAATTGTATTGTGCGTGTGTGTTTATAATTTGTTTTATTTTATGACTGACTACGAAATATTGCTTAAATGCTTTACGAATTCGTATGCCAATTTAAGTACTTATTAAATAATAATACGTTTGCTTACATGTACCATGAAGACACAATAATTATTACCTGTTATTAAATAGATAAATTATATTTATTATACTTGATATAGCGGATATATATTATTAAAAGTAAAGAGTTGACGATTCATTTCCACAGGATTGATGGTCAGTTCAAATCTGTCGGAAGATCCAGTCATAGTTTACAAAAGTATACGTTAGTACGCAAAGGATAATCTGTCAAGTACACAAGATTAAGAAGTGTATACGTATCATATATTTGTCAGTTCCGTTAGATATGCACCGTCCCGTAACACTCTCCTACATCTTCACTAAAGTATAAGAGCTCAGGTTATTTGATTAAGATCTAATAGACGAAGATCTCATGACAAAAATGTGCAAGAGCTTTCGAAAGATCGATTTTTTAGTACGTTAACGTACTGAGAGTATACATAATTCAGTATCCAGTAGTACCGCGATAAATGTATTTTTTTAAAGATTGAATCATTTGCATCCGCATCAGTGCAAAGATTGGAATCAATTAATGCTTCATTTAGATCATCGATTCTCAGATAGATTCAAAAGCAGCGACCAAGTACTTAATAACACAATTAAAATTTACCTAATACTTTTCATTGACCT